GAATCCAACCGACAGCGTCACTCTGAACCATCAAGTACTACTTTTGCATTTGAAAGCATGTATATGTTTTCATAGACGAGCGGAAGCAACTGGCCATCATAAGCTATTTGGATGGTAAACCTACAATAGTTAGAGACTTGTAAACGAGTTCCTTTGCTTAATCAAGGGTGCTTGTACTGTCTTTTTTTTATTGGCCAAAAAAACTGAACTCGTCCAAAATGCAGATAATGTAGTATGATAACGGACAATGGATAAAGTTATACTATCATTTGCAGATAATGTACGTTAATGTGCTTTCGCACTTACAAAAAAGGACTTACACGTCTTCCACTTTAATTTACCAAAAAAACCCTTAATGCATGTAAAAAAATGTAAGTCGTGAAAAAATTTTCGCCAACATATTTCAATTTATCATGAGAAAAGTCCAAATTTGTATGAAAATACGAGCAAGGAAAGAGCCCGCATTTCTCTAATTTCCCTAAAACCTAACCAAAGATAATTAACAATAACAACTCCTAAACCAAATCAACACGAAATAAACCCTAATTTAAAGCTGAAAGGAAATTTCCACCTCGAGCACCAGATCCTGCGAGATTTAGAACGAAATCGGACAGAGGAATTCAGGGGAGGGGCGCCGAGAGGTGCGATCACCATTGTGATCGCGTTCGCCATGGACTCCATCAATTCGATCTCTCTAGAATTGGGGGTTTTAGACGGGAGAAAAGAGAAATTGAGGTTTAACGCGAGAGAAAGAGAGAGAGGCAGAGAGCGCGATCGATCACGTGAATTCAGTTATGGAGCTCTCTGCTTTTTGATAAATGATAAGTCACAGGTGTTTTCTCGAGATTAGTCTCTTACCGATATTTTAACTTATAGTACCTCGATCTTTAAAATTGCTAATAGGTCCTCCAATGCATGATCCAAAATTTAGTCTCTCAAGTAGGGATGCTAAACCGTATTCGTATCCGAGAAATATCTGTAACTGTATCTGTTAGGATACGGATATCGTTACTCAAATTTATAACTGATAGAATATGATTTTGTAGCGAAATATACGTATCTATATCCGAAATATCTGGATACATATTAGTCATACTCTTACGATCGTTTCGATTCTTAAATTATGGATTTGTGGTTATTTTTGATGATCAAGATGTCTAATTTTATCTTTTTTTAGTTATAGAACATATGAAGGAACTCTTTTGTATCACATTAACTATGTTTTTATCAATAATATCTAGTTTTCTCATATTGTTTTGTATCTGGATGCACATCTGCTTATATATCTCCATCTATATCCATCACTATATCCGATTTTAGCGAATATAGGTATGAATTTTTTTTACGGAGGTTATCTGTATTTGTATTCGTATCCGAGATGGGTAAACGGATATGGATATAGTAACCATCATATTCGAGCTGTACGCGCACCCCTACCCTCAATTCATTGAAATTGTTATTTCATTCTCTATTAATTAGTTGTAACAAATTAATCCCTCCAATTTAAAGTTGGAGTAGCAATATATAAATTTTTGATTGCCAAGTGACTGCAACTTGGCTAATTCCGCCCGTGCCCTTCGGGATGTGATTACTAAGTGTGATGTTTTTCGGGTTAAATGGATGCGTCTAAAGTGTATGAGAGGGGGTTCAATTTGGTCTTATAGAACTCTTCCTGCTATTTCTTAGATGCGGCGCAATTTTCTTTGTGCACGACCTTATGTGATGACCCTCACCGGTGTAGTTGATAGATGTACGTGGATCACGACTACCATGATGTCTTTAGCTTTTGTTCGGGGAGGGATTCACTTCACATTCAAGGATCGTTAGTCGCTTGGGCTAATTGAGTTTGATTCAAAGTCCTTGTATAACAGTTAGCTTCTTGTGTTTGGAAGATATTTATGCGATGTCTCCTAACATTAGAGTTTTTTTTTATAGGCAAGGGCTAAATATTGTCTTTATTAAGAAATGGAGAATATCCTTGTATTACAAAAATTTATTTTATTCCTAAATCAACTCATATTTTAGCTATTTTCAAGCTACTTCCATGTCTTGAAGTGCGAAAAAAGATTTAAGAAGGAGAGATAACACACACGCGCTAATGTTAGCATTTAAGTAAGTGTCAGAAATAGCTTTTTAAAGAACAAAATATTTTTTGCTCCGAATTATTGAAAGTAATCTCTACTTTATTTATTTTAGCTGCTTCGAAGCCACATTTGTGCAAATAAATAAGCCCTTAGCTAATAATAGTGAGAATCACTGTTTGTAGGGTCAAGGCCGCATTGCACACGGATCTGATCCAAATTCCTGGGCAACAATCAATGTCCAAAAACAAAACACGGTAAGTCCCTTTGCGTCAAATTGAGGCTCCACTCGTCAATTTGATCTCCCTCCGCAAGAAATTGAGAGCATATCCGGTTCGAAATTTAAGATCCGGTCCTCTTTTCTCATCACCTATAAATATCCCCATCCTCCACTGTTCACTGAGCTCCTCTCTCATCAGCCGCCTGCTCTCGTCTCTTACCTCAAAAGTCGTGCTTCTTCTCTCGATCGTCGATGGCGAAGGATCCCGTTCGTGTTCTCGTCACAGGCGCCGCAGGTTCGTTTAGATCCGCTCCTTATTATTCAAGATCCTTATCGGAAATGGATCAGATTCGTGAACCGATGAGATTGAGCTCCGATCTGTCGACAACTAGGTTCAGAACTAGGGTTTTAGGTGGCGATCTGTTGAAAACTAGGTTTTTCGTGGCGTTTGTATAGCTCAGGAGTGTTTTATGATGCGATATATTGATACTGATAGCATTGTTCATGTTTTTTAGTGATAAAACGGTGATGATTCATTTGATCGAAGTATAGATTTTATAATGCAGCAGATTGCTATTGATTTTACGTGTCAAAAGCTAGGTTTATGTGGTGCTATTGTTTCTTATGCCCACGCTAATTCATCTGATCGAAGTAGTCTTTGTAGTACAACTGACTGATCAAGATTTGCTGTGAGATCCGAACTTCTTATTTTTTTGGTGATGAGTACAAATGCTTTCAGTAATTTGCAGTGAATTACTTGGGTTCTGGTTACTCGTAGAACTAGATTTTACCTTTCTGTTGAGTGTTTTCAGAAGATAGACTCTAAATTAGTAGGCTCCTGAAACTTTTTTTTTTTTGAACTTTCCAATTAGAAAGCCATCTTGATCAGTCAGTTGTACTACAAAGACTACTTCGATCAGATGAATTAGCGTGGGCATAAGAAACAATAGCACCACATAAACCTAGCTTTTGACACGTAAAATCAATAGCAATCCACTGCACTATAGAATCTATACTTCGATCAAATGAATCATCATCGTTTTATCACTAAAAAACATGAACAATTCTATCAGTATCAATATATCGCATCATAAAACACTCCTGAGCTATACAAACGCCACGAAAAACCTAGTTTTCAACGGTCGCCACGAAAAACCCTAGTTCTGAACCTAGATGTCGACAGATCAGAGCTCAATCTCATCGGATCATGAATCTGATCCACTTCCGATAAGGATATTGAAGAATAAGGAACAGATCATGATGAGTACAAATGCTTTCAGTAATTTGCAGTGAATTACTTGGGTTCTGGTTACTCGTAGAACTAGATTTTACCTTTCTGGGTACGATATTTTGAGTGTTTTCAGAAGATAGACTCTAAATTAGTAGGCTCCTGGAACTTTTTTTTTGAACTTTCCAATTAGAAAGCTGTTTCAGAGCTAATATGTCTCTGTTTTACTGCTTAATTTAAATCCGGTTACTATATTTATCTGGTTACTATATTTATTTTAAGTTGGATCTAACTGAACTGTATTAAAATAAAATTTTACACTGTCACTTGTTTGTGGTTGATCTGGCTGTCAAAGTTTTTACACGTGCTTAGCTGTCTTTTTGTACTGATCAGAGAAATATACATATATCTAGAGATATTAATTGTAATTTATATTCTTTTCCCTTACAATCTTAAGTAAGTCTTATGCTCTTACAAGATTTTGATTGTCTTTTCTTCCTGAGAACTTTAACTATTAAATAACATTTGCTAGATTTGTTAACATTAGTTGTTCAGATAGAGAAAAGTTCGGAGACAATAGCATTGAGTTTATCCAGTTCATTTTAATACTTTTTTGTGATACATTCAACACAAATGTTGAACATCATAGCATGTTTAGCTTTTAATAGTCACAGTATATATTAGTATGATTTTCATATATGGGGACATGAAGATTTTTCTTTTCCTTATCTTGTTTTTCTATATTTTTCATGTGTTATAGAACTATGAGTGAGTGTTTTTATTTGGTTCTAATTCATACATGCTGGCTGTGTAAATGTTGTGTTTTGGTATTGACTTCTAGTACAACCACTTCTTTTATTGTTTCTTGATGTAAACTTAAATTGAAAATTCCTGTATTTTTTATTACCTTTTTAAATGTTTAATTATACGTACTGTTAAGAAGCAAAAAGAAGTTAACTGTATGGTTAGTTTGACTTTTTGGCTTTCTACCAACTTGCCTTCGCGGTTACATGGAAAAAGACCTCCCCTGCAAATAGTTTTGTTTGCCATGTATTAGAACCATAAGTAGATGAGTAATTTTTCGATAACGTGTCACCAGATCTTGGTTATTTTCCTGTGGAGCATCTTTCTGTCATTGTGCTATAAAACTTATCTGATATAAGGGAAATGCTTGGATGACGATGATGCTACTTGCGCTGGTTCCTCCTCTTAGTGTTGTTGAAGTCACACTAACTTCCTTCTCGTGATAATGGTATAGATTCTAAGAAATAAGTTGTCATGCAAAGAGGGACAATGTCCCTAACAGTCTGCTTAAATACAGATTCCCGTGTGTACGATTCACTCTTCAGTATTTTCGTACATTATGCAACTTCCAGCATCTTATCTGATCTGACATCTGAAGTTCAATTTACCTATTGCAGGCCAAATTGGATATGCGCTTGTGCCTATGATTGCTCGGGGAATAATGCTTGGACCTGATCAGCCTGTGATTCTACACATGCTCGACATTCCTCCTGCTGCAGAGTCTCTGAGTGGGGTTAAAATGGAACTGATTGATGCAGCATTTCCTCTCCTTAAAGGTACTTCATTTCTTTTTGTTTCTTTAGTGCTTATCTGTAATTAGTCTAAAGCTTTTTTCCTTTTAATGTTGACCAAAATATATCATTTATCAGAATTGGTTTTCTAACATATTATTTACTAATTTCGTGATTCAGGAGTTGTTGCTACGACTGATGTTATTGAGGCTTGTACTGGGGTCAATGTAGCAGTGATGGTTGGTGGATTCCCAAGGAAAGAAGGAATGGAGAGAAAAGATGTGATGTCGAAGAATGTCTCTATCTACAAATCTCAGGCTTCTGCACTTGAAAAGCATGCAGCTGCTAACTGCAAGGTATTAAATACAGCAGATGCATCTATCAGCTATATGTTTATTCCTTTTTTTGCTGCCAACATAACATGTCATATGCAAGGAGTCTATGCATAGTCCGCTGCAGCTTACATTTCTGTTTGATGTTACCATGCACACTGCCTCCATTTACACATTCTTCTTTCGATTGAAGGATGCATGTTCTGTAATTCAATATTTCTATTCGTGCTTTACTACAGGTGCTGGTTGTGGCCAACCCAGCAAATACCAACGCCCTCATATTGAAAGAGTTTGCTCCATCCATTCCAGAGAAGAACATAACTTGCTTGACAAGGTTAGATCACAACAGGGCATTGGGCCAGATTTCGGAGAGGCTAAATGTGCAAGTTAGTGACGTTAAGAATGTCATCATATGGGGAAATCACTCGTCTACACAATACCCTGATGTAAGTCACGCTACTGTGAAAACATCAAGTGGAGAAAAGGCTGTTCGTGAACTTGTTTGTGATGATGATTGGTATGGATTTGAAATTATAGTTGCTCTGCACTCTTGTATAAAAATCATTTAAAATGTTCATTCTTCCCTCACTCATTTATACTCTAATTCTTGTTTCCAAAGGCTGAGAGGAGAGTTTATCTCAACTGTTCAACAACGTGGTGCTGCAATCATCAAAGCTAGGAAACTTTCAAGTGCATTATCTGCCGCCAGCTCTGCATGTGATCACATTCGTGATTGGGTCCTTGGAACACCAGAGGTTATTATCTTTACTGCTGGTTCCCGAATTTCATTGTGTTATATCCAGGAAAAAAAATTAAATTACGATTTCATTGTTTCAGGGAACTTTTGTTTCCATGGGTGTATATTCTGATGGGTCTTACGATGTGCCAGCTTGGCGAGTGGACTATCGTCCAAGGTTTGCATACTGCTCTAAATTACTTTAACTACTCATGTAGTTGACTCCTGCTGTAGTTAGTTAGGCAAAAAATAAAAAATAAAAAAAACTTCTTACCTGGTGGCATACTGCTTGGGAAAAGGAATAGAAAGCTCCATATCATTTTCATTTAATGCCTGGACCTTGAACAATAAAATGTAGCCTATGCTTCACATCAATGTCTTTGATGAAAACATATACAAAGAAAAGGAAGCTAATTGTAATATCAGCTAAAGGAAATTTTTCTTAATGGGGTTATTATAAAAATAAGTCGAGCTGAGGATGATTATGATGATGTTTAGATTTTTGTGTTTTGCTTAATGAATTAAAAAATTTATGTTGGGTTTCAACAAAAATCTATAGACTGTTTGATGTCAAGGTTATAGAAAACTATTTAAGTTCCACCTAAGCAAGGTTAGATGATCTCCAGAGGTTAGAAGCAGGCATATATAATCCATCCCCCCTTCTTTCTAAAATTGTCATGGCTAAGTTTTAACTTGTGAAATATGTAATGCCAAGCTTCAAGAGTACCAGACATAGCACTTGTTTAAGTAATGCTTAATTTCCTTAAAAAAATATTGTTAACTTGCTTTCTTTCCTTTTCCCAATCTTGTTGTCAGATAACAGTCCCCGTCTTTATTTTCTTTACTTTTTTCTTTTATATAATTTGACCAGATCTGAGCATTATTGATATTTCTGTTTAGCAAGTAGTGATATTTGTTCTTACATTCCTGACTTATTCATAGACTTCTGTTCTTTAAATACTGCAAATATTATGGCCTTGCTTTTATACATAATTCTCTACAACAAAATGTGCTTCCTATAATCAATTTCCTCTTTATTGGAATTGATATACGCTAAGTTTATGTACCATAACAGATAGTGTTCTTAGCCCTCAGCCCTCAACGTCTGGTCCTTTTGTATCCACAGCGTCTCAGCTATTAACCTTTATCCCATGGAGAGCTGTAGTGTTCTTCCTCTTTCATTAATATCATGAGATTCGCAACTGTCCACCGTAACAAGAGAGGACTAGGCTATGTACCGTTTCCTTTGCTCCATCACAAACAACTAACAACTCCATTCAAATATTTCTTTTCTAATCCATAGTTATAGCCTTGATAACTTTGCTTTTCCCCATGTCATTTGAGGGTGTGCTTTACAAGTGCCAGGAATACTGAAAGCCATACCTAGATACATCCATTAAAAATTAATACAGTATGCCTTTTCATGTACTAAGATAATCCGTATAGTTCTCTTCATTAGATAAGCAGAATGCTACGGCACCAAAACTAATAGTAATTTGATATTTGTATCATTGACAATAACGAGGTATCTCGTGCCATAATCTGTTAGCTTGAATCGGTCTTCGGTGACCAAATCAACGTTCGTTTCTCTGTTGAGAAGAACGTGGGAACGTGGGTTTGTTGAGAGGAAATCTCTCATGGGGCGGATTTGAGGGGGTGGAGATAGTGGACTTAGCCCCTATAAAAGGAGGGTCGATCTCCTTCAGAAATCACAACAACGAAGAAAAGATAAAAACCTCTTACCCATTATCGGAGCCCCCCTCAAAATTCCATCGCTGCTCCTCTGATTTCAAGCACTGGTATCAGAGCCATACGTCGATCGATCAACTATCTCAAGCTCTGCGTCCATCGGCGACGACGACTGCTGCAATCACGACGTCAACGACGAACTCAGCCTCGATCGACAGCGATCTGATCTCCTGCAGTTCGAGCACGACGTCAACGACGAACTCGTCGTCGATCTGATCTTCGCTCGACCTCAGTCTCGATTGCGACGACGACGACTAGACGACCCTCCGATCTATCGACGACGACGGCGACGGCTGATTTGGAGCTAGGGTTTCAAAAGAAGTTTTTTTTGGGGGGGAGAAGACAATCGGGAGTTTTTAATCCATCTAGGAACATAAAGAAGTGGTGTTGGGCTAATCTAGTTGGGCCTGAGAATATCCTAATACAATTTTTTCCTCCTTGAAAAGCTTCTGAGCATTTGTAGTTGGGCCTTGTAGAGAGAAACAAGTTTGTGGTTGAATTTTGAGATTTCAGTTTGAGCGTGAGGAGTATTATTTCTGTAGAAGCCTCAAATTCTTCACACGGTGGACCTTCTCCAAAATCCAGTCAGACAACTGCTGATCCAATCAACACCGTTGAGTGACAATCTCGCTCGAATTGGAACTTTTTTCATCAACTCGGAACAATCAGTTTTAGTTCTCTACCGAATGGCTAGCAAACTCGTTCTATCAGAACTAGGGAAAATTGATAAATTTAATGGCAGTAATTATGATATGTGGCATAGAAAAATAAGGTATGCTCTTATTCATGACAACATTGATGATATAATCGAAACCACTGCTCCAACCCTTACTGATAAATCTACACCTGAAGAAAAGAAAGGGTTTGAACAGTGGAAGTCAAAAGATAAAAATACGAAAAGTCTTATGCTCATGTTCATGGAAGATAACTTAATCAAAGTTTTTGAAACTTATAAGACTTCCATGGACATGTGGAATGCAATAAAAGAAAAATACGACACTGCTTCTGAAGTTAACATCCAACTACTCTTGCATAAGTATAATTCTTGTCGTATGCAAGAGGGAGACAATGTCGTAGAGCATATAAATAAAATGATTGTCATGGCTAAGGACTTATCCACTGCTGGGACCGAAATCCCGGAAAGAATACAAGTGGCAACCATTTTGAATAGTCTTCCCCCTTCACTTGCTGTGGCTGCCACCAAAAAACAGTAATAATAGTAAAAGAAACATGCTACCGGAATACTTAAATGCAATCTACCACTAGAATATAATAATCAGGAGTATCCAAGAAAGTCAACCAAGTAACAAGTCGATCATACAGCCAGCGATCATAATAACCATCCAAGTATATGGTCATACACTAGATAGAATTAATACTTAAAAATCTACAACTCGAGACGTAGTACGTCGAGCGAAATAATCCAAACAAGGAAACCCTCATGTATATACCATATGTCCCAAATTGTAGATAATTAAATATTAATCCTTATATACCATATGTCCCAAATTGTAGATAATTAAATATTAATCCTGATCTATGTATGAAAAGAAATATAACTGGTCCGCATCTCACAACAACTCGAAATCATCCAAGTAACGGCCATGTAACTAGCCATCTTATAACAGGTCACTGGTTCACATCTCACACAGAGTCAAAGTTCACGTTATCGGATATCTGATTAACGATCACATCTCACTAGTACCTTAGACCCGCCCCAGTGCGAAACGATTCACTGGTGCGTGCCTGGAAATAATCAATAATTACAATATCACCGCTCCTCAGATCCACCCCAGTGCGAAACGATTCACTGGTGCAATCCTGGAAATAAACAATACACATCTGATCACTGTTCTCAGACCCACCCCAGTGCGAAACGTTTCACTGGTGCGAGCCTGGAAATACAACACACATACGATCACATGAACAAAGACTCTCCCACTCCAACTCTTCTTGCTTTTCTAAGTCAATACAACACCTGTCTCTAGGTCACACAAGGCCACTATGGTCATGACTGCTAACGATTCTCAATCACAGCAAGGCAATAGTAATGTAACAATTCATGTGCAATAATATCATGACATATCATGTAATAATGATTTGTTATAGTATATATATATATATACATATATATATGAAAATAGTAATATTATAATGTACTAGAAATGATAAGAAGAAATCCTACAGTCAAGTCCGAAGATAGATAGATCAATGCAGAATAAAGAAACAACTACTAACTATCGAATAGGAAGTATACACACTAAACAAGGAAGTGATCCAACCAAGAAAATATAGAAAATAATCATAAGTATAATGACGACATAACAAGGAATCCTACGACGTCAACGGGGAGAATCTCAAGATCTAGTTCCATTGTAGATAGGTCGGCACAGGAAACGAGAAGCGACTTCGGATTCAATTTCGAATAATTGAGCAATAGAATGAATGAAAGAGTCTAAACAAATCATCCTAAGTGAAGAGGGGCTCAAATCAGGATTGTCAATAAATCAGGACGTTAATCTCCCCTCCCTATTTTAGTGAGAACGACGAAATCACCTACAAGAATAAAGTCGGTTCATCTCCACAATTTGGAGGAAATCAAGGCGTATAGCCGACACAAAAATAAAACCAAATACATAGGCACGAAGGCCATCCACCGCAATGATACACAGCCATAAATGAGTCAACGAATACAATACAAGGCCATCAATAATATACAAGGCCAGCAATTAATTATACAAGGCTACAAACAATAATACGTTTCCCGGCAGCGAATTGCAAAGCAAACCTGTATGGAATTCTAGGCTAATACATTCAAGCAGAAGTATAAGGAAGCACGACAAAGATGTGATATCAGACAATAACGCGAATCAAATGACTAATCACATGAAATATAATTACGGGTCTCAATATGACATGAACATGGCTGTATGGGATAACTATGAATCGAACGTGCATGTATAGTATAATAAATTCTTTTAAAATATCTATTATTATAATAACTCAAAATAAACCATTTATTTTTAAACTAACCTTTAAAAATAATTAGCTTATTAATTCCAAAATAATCTTTTACAAAATAATCTTTTACAAAATAATTTCCTTTAAGTTATTCCTAATCTTTTAAAATCATAAATCTATTTATTTAAAAGTCCTTTTACAAAATAGTTTCTTAAAATATTTTCTCATTATAATTAATTCTAAAAATATTCTTTAAAATTATTCTTTTCTTTTTCAAAACACCTCATAATTAATATTGTTCATCAAACAATCCCACGCAGGTATATCACAACATACAACATAATTATATTACAGTCTAAACATGCATATAATTAATTTGCAGATCTAAAATTGAACTGACAAATCAAGAGAAGTAGGATCTTGCCTGCGAGACCGTGGGGTCTGATGACGATGGTTTCTCGGCAAACG